CTTGGCTCCGTCCGATTATCATCTATTCGCATCAATGGGACACACTCTCCCTGACAACGCTTCAATTCGTATGAAAATGTACGAAAATGGCTCGATAGCTGGTTCGCTTCAAAAGAAGAAATGTTTTTTTGTTGTGGCATTCATAAACTGCCGGAGAGGTGGGAAAAATGTATAAATAGCAATGGACATTATTTTGAGTAAAATATTTTTTATCATTTTCAAACAACAGACGTGTAATTTTTACAAAAAAATTCCGGTTTCATACTTCTACACCTGGTATATCCATCAATACAGGTTATGTCAAAATAATTGAATTCGCATTTTTGTTTAATATAAGTTTATCATTCATCCGATAATAATTCGATTTATAAGTGAGCATGGCACACTCGCAAATGTGATTTATATTGCTTTACTGTAGATATAATATGTGACCATTCTTTTAATATATCTTCTGTTTTTGGAAAACTAAATGTAAAATATGGAATTAATAAATTCGACATTTAAAGAAACTATCAACTAGATTAGCAATTCAAAGTATATTTCAAAACATTAGATTACCTAAAGAATGATATATCTTTATTCGATGTCCATTTTTCCTTATAAATGTAACAGTATTTCGCCATTATATAACTTATTAATTTTAAAATAAATATAGCAAAATTATAGAAACTTTGGTTTATGATATGAATTATTTAAGAATTGTTTCTTTTAATACTAATACGACTGACTTTTGGATCGGATTATATCACATCCTCCCCACTCTCGATCACACTGTGAGCTAGATAAAGATGAGAGAGAAACTGGAGACCTCTCTCTCATCCCACAGTTTACAAGAGAGAAAACATTTCAGGTAGTATATATTTCAGTGGTAATATTTAAATAATATCTCCTGTCTGGTTGTGTTCATCTTTATCTTATTTTAGCCTATATAGGGTGTCCCAAAAAAGTTAAGACCCTTAAAAATCTCGAAAAATATAAGTTTTACAGAAAAGTGTTTCAAAATTGTAGGATTTAAAACGGCCTATTTACTGATCTTATCAGTTTGATCTTGGATGGTGTCGCCAAGGTTAGGGCAAGGTCACTTTAAATTTTTTATACGGATCCCGCTATTTTTTTTGCATATTCTTGTAGCTTACCTCGAAAGCTTTTCAAAGCAGTATAATTTTATACACTTTGCAATACCCCTTTCAAAGTTATCGACTCCTTTGTAGATTAGGAACAAAATTCGGCACCATTTGGGACAAAAATGTTGTAACGGAGTGACTTTTTCCATGTAGTCGGGATGAGGCTTGTCGGAGCCCAAAGTTCGGTTGAGGAATGGAAGAGTAGAGAGAGAGAGAGAGTAAGAGATAGAACATTGGTTGTAACCACATTATATTTAGAGGTGTGGTTATATACCACTATTTACAACTTCGTCGCCGAGGGGAAGGGGCTATATACAATGGGGATGAAGCGCCCAGGTGAAGAGCCGGTGATTTTTTACGAACTAGTTGCGTTTACATGCTGTTTCGACGGTTCTCGGCGCCTGACGGTTGGGAGTCCTGGTTGGCACCTCGCTAGCTGGTGTCTCGGCGTGCCGATGCCTGGCCCTGTCCCTTCCGGTCGGCCTGGCGTTGGAGCTGGACGGTCGGTCGGTGGCTTTCCCGTTGAGAATCGGGGATCGGCCTTTTTCGCCGTCGGTGTGTGGGTTGGCACGTGAGGATAGACTCTAGCCCTGGTGCTGCCTGGCGGAGGTTCGGTGCACTATACCCGTGACGGTATAGAGAGGACACCGCTGTTATCGGTCGGTTTACTCTCTTGCTGAAACGGTAGAGGCGATCATCGATGCTGGTCGAACGAGACTCGTTAGTGGAGAGGGCCACACCAATACCGGTTGGTTGACTCTAGTGCAGGAACGGTGGGGAAGAAGCGATCACCGATACCAGTTGATCGAGACTCGTCGATGGAGCTGGGCTGGGCTTCTTCCCTCCCCCCCCCGCCCCGTCATCTCCGGTCGCCTGCCCAATGTTCCACGTGTGGCTTACTTTTGCGAGTTCGCTGGATAATAATTGACGGATCGGTGCGCTGCGCGGCATATTTATAGTCCGCGCGCCTCAGTCTTGCTGGCGAGCGAGTGGGGTCGGGCATATGCCCGCCTAGCGGCGCTCCAACGGTACCACTCGCGGGTGCCTTGCAGTAACATCGTTCTCGCGAGAACGGAACTGCATAAACGCCGCGGCGCCTTCACAGTACTATTCGCCTGGTGATCGGCGAGTAGTCGGCGTGCAATGTTGCGCGCCTTTCGGCCTATGTTGGTGTTGGCCAGGTAACGAGGGCCCTCAGGCACCTCGTTACAAAGTCTCATACCATTTTGCAAATAATACGCAAATTGTGAAGTTATTAATTGAAGATGCTCCCATACACGGCCATTTTTAATCATTGACAATTCGAAATTTTGTGTGTTATTTGCAAAATAGTATATGACTTTTTTGTTCAATTCAACGAGTTCTACACTCCCACGTAGCGGGGGTATTCGGTTCTTAGACACTCTGTGTACAATTATGTATAATTATATTTAATTATCTCCAATTATATATGAACAATTTTTTTCCCGAAAACATAAAATTTGTCGCAACTGGTAAATTATTTTTCTCCCCCGTAAAAATTTTAAGGATTAGGAAAATGACGAAATGGTATTTATTTTTGTGTGAGACAACAATTAAGTTGTAGCCCCTATTTAGTTGAACATAATCGATTATTATTCATCGTCGAAACATTGCACGTATTTTGCAATTTACAATACAATACCTATAATACAAAATATTAATAGTAATTACCTGATAATAATATTAATAATAGTGATAACTGAAATATGAAGAATGACGAAGGGTGAATGAAGAAAAGAGTGGCATTACAAGGATGAGAAGAGGGGGAGGGAGGGGGCGAGGAGAGATTAAACGTAGGTGTGCTAGAAGGTAATAAACAGTGATTCGAAAAATTCAGTCGATCGCAATACGTTTATCGAGTCGCGGCTCTCGATGGCTCTCCTTGGTACTCGTCGTTCTTACATCGGAGCATATATCGAATATCATTCTGAGAAGCGCAACGTGTACCAGTAACAGTTCCTGGTTCCTCCACGAAATTTACATAACCCCTTCTTCCTCGAGTGGAAAATCTCATTGGGTATCTGACTGATCGCCGAGTTGTCGAATTCTTCAGGTTTCCCAATAAATTAGACACAAAGAATATAAAATATATTGGCGCGACGTTTTTATTTTTCTGATCCGGTTGCATCCGATCGACCGATAGTCAACGACTTTATTCAACAATCAAGATGAAAATTCGAACAATGAATGAGGAGCGGAATAATCGTGGGCCCCGAGGGAAGATTCTAATCGGTATCTGCTACTAGTACACATCTGCCTCAGCATATTCTGTATATACGTCACGTGCCCGTGAAGCGCGAATTAATCAGTAACGGGAGTTCCGGTGCGTGATTCTCAAGAAAGGATCAACTTATCCGGTGGAACCGTTAAAGAAAGAGAAAAAATGCGAAGTTTCAAGTTGCGCTACGTGCTTTAATCACTTCGCGTCGCCGGCAATCCGCGCACCGGTCATTTTAACAGTATCTCCGCCACGGAGAGCGCCAAAGTGTTTCTTTCTCCTCGATGAGAGTGGATTTCCCGTCACAGCCAATTAATTCTCGTTACGCGGGCCAGAACAGCCTGTATATATACATATACTATACATATATAAATACTTTACTGGTATGTTTTTTTTTTTAACAAGAAAGAGTTAGATTCGTGTGCATACGCACACAGAGCGGCGAGCTCCATGCTCTTCTCTTTCATTAGGATCAGGACGCTCGTATGTGTCCGGGATCGCGAGGCTCTTGCCCGCGACAGAGTCCGAAATGGCCGATCTCTCTATCAGCCGTGCGAACAGTGTGGAGGAGAAGTAAGGAGCAGGGATGGGAGAGAACAACTAGATTACAAAGTGTGTCCTTACGTAATATAGGCAACGTTAACTTCTCTCTCTCTCTCTCTCTCTCTCTCTCACATATACACATACGTATGCATGAACACACACACACACACACACACACGCACACACTCTCTCTCTTTCTCTCTCTCTCTCTCGCGCGCGCTCTCTCTCTCTGTCTTTCTCTCCTATAAATTTTGATATATTATGACTACTATCTATATATATATATATATACATATATGTATATATATATATACATATATGTATATTACTTTTGGCAGGAATGTCGTAATAATATCTTTGCCGCATTCAATGTGCGCACGGTCGAAGTGCGTGCGCTACTGAATGCCATATGCTGGATCGCGTGTGCCATGTGCATGAAAAAGGAAACTTAAAGCCTCGCCTTCGACCGATCTCATATTTTCATATTGTTTACGAACGTTGTCATGATGCACGCGCGCGTGTATTGCTTTTTACTGACCTGAATTCGCGGGTCGCACTAAATAATCCTACACGAACAACGTGAATTGTCCCATACGGCGTGAATATCCGGCAAATACCTCAGGATATTCGTTGAATATTTAATTATTGCGTTTATCTTTTTGTTCATTATTTATCGCTAAAGAAAGTGAGGTATTTATACAATTTATTATCACTAGGAAATGAGATTTTTAAATTATCATAAATAAATCAGATAAAATATAAAAGAGGCCGATATATCTATATTAAGAAGAACTTACAAAATAAGATATGATTGAAATAACGTTGCCAAATTTTAAACGCGTTATTTTGTATATTCAAGGAATGACCCTCAATATTCACGCTATACTGGATCGCGATGATTGCTTATACATATAAAAAAGCGACGACGAAATATATTGGAGGAACATTTGAGAATGTATTTCCGCGTACAGTACTGACTCGACTTCTCCCGCTGCTTCTCAAGAAATGATGCCGCAACTCATGTGCGCTCACACATATGTATATTACAGAAAATGTGATCTTCCTCCTTAAGGTCCGCAGGAAGGCCCGCAGGAAGATGCGCAGAAAATGACGCAGATGATGATTTCAGGAGAAATGACCGCTTACGTTTACTATAGTGAATGCGGTAAAACAATGAGATATGATGATTGCTCATACCTATATAGAATACTCGAGGATACATTTGCAACGTTACTCAATATAGCATAATATTTACAATATGTAGCATTGTTACCGAGAGCCGTGAGATCCTTCGTTACGTTCTTCGGGCATGAGTTACAGTTGCATCTGCACGGCGATTTTGTTTGCTTTATTATCGACATAACAGGCATGTATGTACATCGGGTAGTGTCGATTGACTTGCACTTGAGGAATTTTGATTCGCGGACTCATCGCAGGAGTTCGAGAATTCGATTCCGATCATCGCAGTGTGCCGATATCCACTCGTAGAGCGACAAAAATCTTTTCTTCGTAATCGCATTTAATATTTAAGCAGTTGACTCTTTATAAGCACAACAAGATGTTAAACTTCATGAACGATATGAACAAAGTTAAGTACAGTTCCGAATTTCCAGGAATTCACTATTCAATTACTGTAGCACGTTAAAAAGTTAGCCTAATTTGCGGTTGATAGACATTATTAATATAGTTACAGATTAATTTGTAGTTGATAACATGATTAATGCCATTAGTTACATCATTAATAAATCATAATTCTACTAAGATGGCAGTCGATTGTATTATTAATCGGTGATCTGCTTTACCATATAATTTCATTATGGAGCCCTTAGGTCAAGGTATGTATAATTATGTTATATCCAATTATTTTACTAAATATAACAAACAAATTTCCCAAGTTAAAATTATCAATAAAGTGTTGTGTTTTGTTTATTTGTAACTTTATTTATTTGTAACTAACCTTGAATTTTAATTATGCTTCTATCAAAAGGTAACGCTTAGTAACAGTTGTTTTTTTATATTTCTAAATCTTCATTTATAATATATTTGAAAACACCTATATATTATAAATGCATAATAGTATAACGATATTGGTAAAGGTTGATAAAACATTTTTTAAATATTTAGGTCCACATGTTTCCATTACACGCAAAAAATTGTACGAAATTTTTAAATCAAAGGATTCTATTCATCCAAGAAGCGTTGCAAGTTGGCTTCAACTATCTCATTTCACTATTTCAAAAATGTTTATCAACGAAGAAGAATGCTCTGAGGATTTTCAAAGATAAAATGCCCGAGGAACTAAATGCATTTACTATTTCACTGCATAAATATTTAACTTTGTATTTTAATCAAACCAAATTTTTGGAGGACAAATATAAANATACTTTGATTTTTAAATTTCGTACAGTACTTTGTATATAATGGAAACACGTGGACCTAGCGATAAAAAGAATAATAATCTTTTACCAATCATTACTAATATTGTTATAATATTCTGAAATCGTCATTAAATGAGGATTTAGAAATAAAAAACAACTTTTACTAAGTGTTAACTTTTGTATGATAGAAACATAATTGAAAATTAAGTATTATTTAGTAACAAATAAACAAAACCATACTTTTATTGCAAATTTTAATTTGAGGTAATTTTTTATCATTATTTAGTAAAATAATTGGTATATAATAATATAACATAATTGTATATACTTTAAACCAAGGGCTTCATAATGAAACTATGTGCTAAAATATGTCATCGATAAATAATACACTGATTGCAATCTTAGCAGAATTATGACTTGTTAATCAAATTATTAACAGCATTAATCATATTTACCAACTATAAATTAAACTATAATCACATTAATAATATTCACCAACCATAAATTAAACTACCTTTCAAACATGCTATAATGATTGAGTGATAAATTATTGGAAATTCGCAATTATAATTAACTTTATTTATATCATTCGTGAAATTTAACATCTTGTTATGCTTATAAAGAATGAAGTATTTAAGCTTTAAGTGCAATTATGACGAAAAGATTTTTGTCGCTCTTCGAGTGGATATTGGTCCGTTGTGCATCGGTGAGAACGATTGAGAAACTGATTTTTGATTGACGATCTCATAGGAGCAGCGCGTATAGATGCAGGAGCACGGCGTGTGAACACGTTTTCGAACTCACTCGACGAGAACGCGGAAGTTTATAGAAACTTCAACGTCTTCCGGCTCAAGGAAGCATTACGCGGATGGAAGAAATATGATTTACTTTACACAGGCTGGAGTAACGATAATACGTTAACCAAGTATAGTGTTGCACGTCTTTGTACAACACGACTACACTTCGCAGGAGGGAAAGCTCGGTTGGTGAAATACCGTATAATCGTAGTTACCGTATAATCGTAACAACGGTAAGATCTGTTTTAATATGTCGTATGTCGGAACGCAGCCGATGCTCCAATGAAAGAATTAATTTTTCGAGAAAGAGTTCTCTTCATTGGACATGACGCCGACACATGATGTATTGTAGAACAGGCCTAATACATAATAGTCTTAATAATTATAATAATATATAATATAGAGAGATATAATAATAATAATAATAATAATAATATATCATAAAATAATAATATAATAATACTAATAATATATTTGCAGTTACAAACTAGAAAGAATCTCTAATGACTTCGCGAGCAGAGCTTTGTGATTAGGCGTTTGAGCAGAGTGTCTAGACACATGTGAGAAGAAGAACACTAATCGAAAAGGAAACAACACGTGTTCGATTAACAACTCATCTGTAACGTGATCTCATCTTCACGTAATCGTCGAAGTCGTCGCGATTGATGCTTCGCCGACGAAAGGCGGTGATGGGGATCAAGAGTGTGCGAGACTGCCGCAATGTTTGCTTAAAATCGGTTTAAAGGCGATTGCGCAATAACTGTAATATTCAACAGTTTCAACTATTAACTTACGCGCAGATACGCAGAGTGACGTCGTGTAAAAGTATTAAACGCACATCATATTTCGATAGAAATGTGAAAAAACCAACCGATATGCATCGCACATTCACGCGTTATAACTCACACACGTATCAAACATGTTGTTTCTCTCTCTCCCTCTTTCTCTCTCCCTCTCCTTCGCTTCCCCTCTCTTACACTCCCTTCCTTTCTTATTCGCATTTCTTTTCCCGATTCAGACAGTGACATAATTGATTTTTGCTCGCCGCTTTCTTCATTTCTTTCTCACTCACTTGCTCTTGGCCTTAGGCCGCTCTTGACGACGCAGCGAATCGGCTTGCGGATCTGTTTGGCGACTTACAGGGAGGAAGAAGTGGACGACTTAAGATCGACCAATCGATCGATCGTGGTGCGCTCGATGCGCTACAAACAACCCTCTACTGCGGTGCAGACGTAAATCGGACGTACGTTCACACACGTGGACTTATAATAGTAAAAACGCGCTTGAATATATATGTATATATATATATATATATACATACATATATATATATATATATATATCTCTCCTCGGTTGTTCAGCTACAATTCCTATACGCTCGAAGATTAAAATACGACTTGCTCGGCGAGAGATTGTCCAAAAGCTACCGCACGTTTTGCTTGAAATGCGACAGCGTATCTGCACGTCGTGGCCAAATATCGACCTTGTCCGCGCAGGATCGATCGTCAACACCGTTCGAGAAGCCGACGATCACTAACCCCGAAGGCGGGAAACCTCTAAATATATTGACTCTGAAATCGTGATTTATCGTTTACATGTTACAGACTCGCGGCTCCTTCTCTCGTCGAGAAATCACGCCGGATGAATCCGCGTGCGTTGCGCAGAAATCAGCGTCCGCTTTTTTCATTTACTGCAATCGTCCGCCACCCGATGCCTTCACTTGGTTCCCAACGACTTTGGGTATCGCGCCGATTATCTTCACGTTATTCTGCGGAGTCTGCTGTTGCTGCATTTGTTGTTGCTGCTGCTGCTGCTGTTGCTGCCGGTTATCACAAAACTGCGGCGGCGGTGCGAACACCACTTCATCCTGGCCACCGGTGGACGGGCCGGCGTTGAATTCTGGCGGCGGCGGCACGAACATATCGTTGTTCTGCTCTTCGGCGTCGGCTTCGATCGGCGGCGGTAACTGGGCCAGGCTGACCGCGTGCCTGGTCAACAGACCGCTGCTGCCGTAGCCTGACCGAATCTTTGGGTTGCCGCTCTCTTTCTCCGCCGAGCCGATGGCCATCAGAGTCGCAGCTGGGTGCTGGTTGCTTTCGTTGGTGAGATTCCGTAGATTGGCGGTGTCGTCGAAACCCATAGGCGGACCCACCGGTACATCTTGATCGGAGCTGACGCCGCTGGAACTGTTGTCTCCGTCCTCGGTGAGCGACTGTTGCGTCTGCTGCAGCAAAAAGTCGTTCGGATGGCTTTTGGAAGATTTAAGCTGCGTGCGCACTTTCTGAATCTCCTCGACACTGAACGAATGCGGCAACGAGCCGCTGCCCGACGAGCTTGAGCCGGATGTATTGGAATTACCCGATGTTTCTCGCGTCGCTTCCAGTTTATCTCGCGCGGCCGCCTTCTCCAATTCTTTCGCGATTTCCGACTCACCGTCCTCGTCTGTCTCGTCCTCGTCCTCTTCGTCGTCATTCTCTGACTCCGAGAGACTGTAATCCGGCTCGGGTATCGGCGGCGCCGAACTAGGCGGTGTGGGCCCGCCGTTGTTGTTGCTGGGAGCCGCGATTGACGAGAGATTCGTGATGGACGAGCTGGCGCTCACGCTCTTCTTCTTGCGCTCGCGAATGCCGGTTATGCTATGACTTCTGTTAGTCTTGAGCGGCTGCGCGTACTGGTTGTTCGCTGAACTGTTGGTGTTCCCATTGGCACAGCTGTTGTTGTTCAACGTTTGTTGGCTGCCGGGCGGTTTGAACGTCGTGTTGGGTGCGCGGAGGCTGTGCGACTTCCTGATGTGCGAGCGAGTCGCCGGTAGGCTACGTGAACGGTATCCGACGGTTTTCATGTCCTCCGGTGAGGCGTACAGCTTCGCGCTGTTCGACGGCCGGAAGCTCGACATCACACCGTAGCCGCTTTCAACTGTCGCCGCTGCTAGTTCTATAAATAGCACCGGATATGACGATATATTGAAATAGCCAGATCGGAAGAGCGAGATAGCTGAAGAACGATCGAATTTACCTTTGACTTGCTGAATATGTGCCATGTTGTCGTAAACGGAAGCCGGCGTGACAACGTCCGGTACGTTTGCGCCGACGTTCACTTTGACAACCTGCCCGACCGGCGGAGGTGGCGGCGGATGGTTCGGTGGTGGTAGCCCGTTTCTACCGTTCAAAGCATTCACGTCCTCCTGGCTTCTGTGTCCCTTCGGAGCCAGGAGGGACGACGATTGCACTTGCACATTAAGGTCAGGCGTGCTATGGAAGTCTCGGTGAAGATCGGAACCGCCGCCCAAGCCACCGAAAAAGCGTACTCTGGAGTGCGACTGCAAACGTAAGGACAACAAGAGGCTCGTATAAGATGCAATTTGTGAACTGGCGTCGTCGCCTTGCTAATTGGACAAAACTCGGAGCGTGAAGATTGTAATTGGATTTGCGATTTGTAACGTTGGGATGAAGGTTGGTGAGATGGACAAAGGTCGATGGAACAATGAAAGAACAGGGGGTGACATTGGAAAAAAAAAATATGACACAAGGACGAAGCGTTTGATTCTGCTAAGCGTGAACTCAAAGCTATCACGTGACTAATGTTTGATAATCCACTACCGTTACTGCCTCTCAGCAAGATGTTAGTGCAATGTTGACGTTTAGGAATATACGGGGGACAAGGAAGAGGAATAAATAGTTACGTTACTGTCGGCCTTCCATGCTCAGAACCGATCCCGAAGAACGACACAAGGAACTAAATGATCGCGACAGGTCAAAGAAAGGCGCAATTGTTAATCATACAAGGCGTGAACACGAAACACTGTAGGTGGCACTTGGCGCTCACGCGAGCGTCAGATCACTTTCGTTTCTTTTTCGTTAGCAAATGACTTAGTCACCTGAAATCATGCAAGCCACGGACGAGCTAGAAACAAAGTATTTTCGATCAGTAATATAAGTAGTGGTCCTCGTCGTCTCGCCCGCACCAGGAACGCCCCTTGTTGTGCACTCGCACTGGCTTGCGCGCAAACTATAACACACATGCAAAAAGAACGACCACCGTTACCATTGCCCAGAAAGGTAGATTCACCGAAAGGGCGAACGCCGGGCGACGCTGGTGGACGCTTTTCTTACGAAGGGTTATCCTTACTCCGGCGGTGTCAACCGATTACTACCAATGAATTACGACATGAGAAACGAGCAGAGAAAGAGAAATATGAATATCGGAGAATAAGAAATATGACCGAAGATAGCCGCCTAGGAGGGGGAGGGGGGGTTGAGTTCAATAAAATACTACTGAATGAAACGAACAAACAAATACGTTAACATCCATTTTTCTAGAGCGGCTTTCGCTCTCGCAAGGGGGCTTAATCGACTAGAGAGGGAGAACACTAAGAACATGTCGAGAAATCGAGAGTAAACGAGAGTGAGCGAGTACGCGAGCTCGTTACTTTGAGAGTGCCACGTCACATGTTCTTACTTTGCCCTTGCGCTTCATTTCCGCCACGCTCGCATACACCCGGCCAGTCTTGGCGGGCGACGATGGATGCGACTTGGTAGACTGACTGACGGTCTGAAAGTGAGAGCTCATCATGGACGAGTTGTACTGACTGCCGGCGCTACCTTGCTGACGCTGAAATAGTTCCTGGAAGAGAAATTAAGGACGAAGCTCAAGCCTCAGTCGTCACGTGCAAATGCCATTCAAATAGTATACAACGAGCGCACGGATTTAGTGATCGAGCAAGGGGGTAATGGTAGCACCGGGCTGCCGAAGGCACAGAGGGGCCATAAGGGATAGTTACTTCGAGTTCCGCGGCGGTGATCCTACTGGAGGTTGGCCTCGACCGGATACTAGCTGTTCGCGGTTGTACCGGCGTGTTTTGCCCAGTGTTCGATCCGGTCGACGACTGTTGCGGCATGTGAATCGATTCCGCACTGCTCGACTTCGCGCCTGTCGAAGCGATCTCGTCACGGTCGTCCCTCTCACCGCCCCCTTCTGCGAGGAAATATGGAAATGATGAAGAACGATATTATGCGCGCGGTATCGTTCGTATGCCAGTCACTCTTTGGCGAGACTCGATCTAATTTCTCACCTAATCCCGCAACCATCGATCGCGCCCTCGCTCGACCTACGCTTAAAGTGGTCTTTGGATCCCTTCGCGGTGGTGCGGGAGCTGGAGATCTGCCAAGCGTACCACCGATCACCACGTTGTTGTTACCCTTGCGCGGTAAAGTTGCGTATTGTCTCTGAATGGGTTGACTAGTTGGCAACGCGGCCGCCGACTGAGAGTTTGGAAGGCTGATCATCGGCGAGACTACGGTCATTCGCACTAACTCTCCCGACTTCCTGATTAAATCGACCACGCGTTCGTGAGAGGCCGTCGTTACGTCCTCGCCGTTAATCTGTAAGATTTGCGTGAAAATGCAACTCGACTGTGGAATACAAAATTGTGCTTCGCCATATTGTAATGAATACTTTCTTGGAAGAAATATCGATTAATTAATAATGAAAGATCTTTTGCGCACTATTCGGGACTAACTCGAGAATCATGCGTGCGAGACTCACCTGAATAAGAAAATCTCCTTTCCGAAGACCCGCCAAATCCGCCACACCCCCTTGATCGACGTCGTCCAGATATTGTAGCGCTGGGTATCTGGCGGATGGCGTCAGTTCCATCAGCGGCGAGGTAGCTTTGGCGCCGCGCAACACGAAACCGAAACCTTTCCTCGAACGATGTAGAACGACAGTGCGGGGCTCCGATGTGACACTGCGGATTCGTATATCAAATCGAGTTACATCGCTCTCTCATTAGCGTGACGTTTCTTAACATGGTCGATCGTCGGTACTTACGGTTTTTTTAATCTAGGCGCGGTCGCAAAATATTTATGCTGCGACTCCCTGCGGCCTAAGACTCGGTTCCGTCCGTCCCTCGCGGACTGCGGGCCCAACGGTATATTCGTGTGACGCAGCCTGACCTCTTGAACGCAATGCGCGGGAAACAGGCCGGTCCCCTGTCCACGGAGGATACCTTCCAAGAGGCCGCAGTCGGTAGCACCGGTGACTGTTAAAAATAAAGAAACAAAAACACGCTTGCTATCAGAAAGATATTGGGCGTTACCTACAAAACAGAAATCGAGAGAGACAGAGGTGAGAGAGCCGGCCATCGTCCCAGATTATGGAACACGACGATTAATTAAACATATCATGTTAATTACGGGGAACATACGTAGAAAATCACAGCACATCGAGAGCGACGTTCAACGTTCACCGTTAACGGGGCTAAACAAGAGTATATGGGAACAGTGTGTTCGGATTGCCTAGGTGGTGTGTACCTTCGAGGATGTCGCCTTGATTGATAGTCAGATGACCGGTGATGCCGCTGTTGTAGCTCTCGACACAGACCACCGTCGTACCCGGAATGGATAACGAATTGGTCGTGTCGGACTGCGAGGTTCCCACTCCGGAACTGTCGCTGATCACATCAGACGCTGTGTCGCCGAGGCTCTTGTCTAGAAATCGACAACGGTCAGGTACTCAGCACGATGCTTCGTTTGGCCTGCGTCGTCTTACTGAGCGGTAAACACCATGCAAGGTCGAAATCTTTAGGAAAGACAGAGGGGCAGAGAGAGAGAGAGAGAGAGAGAGAGAGAACAGAACTGACTGTTAACGCTAAGTCAAAACCTCAACACGTTCACGACTTAAAAAAATCAACTCAACTCGGCTCTGTGGCTAAAGCGCGCTCTACACGACGGTAAAAAGAGCTTTAAATCGCCAGCCGTGTCACATTCGTCCGCATCCTAAGGGCACGGTCTCTAAGAAAATTAAATGCAACGTGTCTCATCTGCCTGCGCGAGACCTCGTTCAGTCCGACAATTTGCAAGGAGGAGCCAACTTGAACTCTCTAATATATCCTCGGGGACATCAAAAAAACGGAAGCATGCACGAACCATCAAAGCCAATGTCCGGGAAAACTCTCTCTCATAGTGTCGCTCGACCACCTTCGCTTCGTCAGTTTTTGGTGGTGATGATGTGCGTGAAACGACGGTGTCATTTGGTAATCACTTGTCCAACGCTTGGACGACGCGTTCTTCGCAACGAACGCGACTAAGCAATGTGACAGGTTCGATAAAGAGACAAGAGGTTACGCTTCCTCGTACCTTTTTTGGCAGCTGACTCTCTAGACGGCCCTCATTTCCGCAGTTTATGGATGAGTCATCGAGGAGCGGATTCCCGATTTCTGGTCCCCTCACTATCGAAGCACGGGCACAGAGGGCAAGGGGGGACATATAGAGAAAGTGAATAGTGTACCTGTGACGATGCTGGCCGAGTCCTCGCCGGATGGCTGATTGCTGCCTTCGGACAAGCTCGAGCTGGCCGAGCTGAAAGGCGCTAAACTCCTGCTGCTCGGCGATGGCGACGGCGGCATCTCCATTGTTCTGTGCATATCGAGGCGGTGCTGCAGCTCGAGCCGGTGCTCTTGCAGCCTCGTCAGGCCCTCCATTCTTAAGTTCTGATAATTCTCCGCGGCTGTCGGTAATCTTGAAATGGTGCGTAACTCTTAGGACACACCGGCGATCGAACCGTGCTTCGCGCCAACCAAGGCGAGATTGACCGCGCGCGAATCGACCTGATCGGAGCGAAGCATCGGGGCGAGCGCAATTGTACTGAATTGAAACGTCGTTCTTCGCGACGACGACGACGACGATGACGACGACGACGAGGAGGAGGAGGAGGAGGAGGAAGAAGCCTCAACGCGAAATAACGTCTAATCGTCTTTGCCGTTCAGCTCAGAGAGAAAAAGAGCGTCGTCCGCTATATCTCGCACGAGTATCCGCTCTCTTTTTCTTTTTTATCCTTTTCTATTTTCTATTTTCACGAATTTCTTACCGCGCTCTCTCCCAGCGATCAGCGGTGGCGGCGGCGGTAGCGGCGGCAATCTCGCTCGCGATTCGGCGCGGATCGCGAAGACGGCCTTATGCTTACCTCGCATTAGGATCTCTCAGGGAGTTCGGGCTCTGGTACTCCGACGTCAGTCGGTGGCCGTCTTGTTCGGACGGTATTCTCGGTAAGTCGTTTCGACTGCTCGACTCTACGGACGGTACTCTGCCGAGGCTTCCGTGATGGTGGCTCGCGCTGGCTGACTCGACACTCGCAACATTGGAGGGATATTGTTCGGTGGACGGTACTCTGCTCAGGCCCGCTGCGACGACCGGATACTGCTCCATGGACGATACCCTAGTCAGCGTATTGGCCGGGTATTGCTCGGAAGTGGACGATATTCTGGCCAGGGTGGGGTCGTATCGCTCGCCGGAGGAGGCTCTGCTCAGCACCCCGTGCTGCGCGTACTTCTCCCCGACTCGGACGAGTGTGCCGCCGCTGGCGGACGATGGAGGTAGTGGTGGATGGTACGGTTGTTCCGTGGACGGTACTCGGTTCAGATTCGCCGCTGCGTATTGCTCAGCGAACTGTACTCTCGTGATACTCGCGTACTGTTCCACCGAGACGGTTCTGGTGAGGGTACCACCAGCAGCGACACTGCTGGCGGCGTTAGACGCCGCGGCGTGCTGTTCGGTGGACGGTATCCTGGTGAGGGTGCCCAGATTATTCGCCGAGCAGCTCGTCGTCATCATCGAGGCGCCGGCGAAAGCCACTGAGCGCCGCTTCGGGTTGTAACGTGGCGGCCCTTTAAACGGTACTGGAAAATCGAGGGTTGCAAGGTTAAGTAAAGAAAGGATTACTTAGCCTTACAAATAGGGGCCCGCGAGACTACGCGCATTTCTCTCGTCGTCTTCTCTCGTGGACGAGACGCAGTTGACGCGAATCCTCAAGGCGATTCAAGCGAGGACGACGTTCAGCGACGTGTTCTTGCTATCGGAACCGCGATTCATGATTTAGAAGGACACAAGGTGGCTAATGACATCAGACCCTAAGCAGCCGGACATTTTTTTCAAAGTGATCGACGCGATATATTTTATTGAACGATGTGAATTTGTGGAAAAAATATGAGCACTTGTGTACAGAATGGTAAATAACAGATGTATTTGGTGCACGCAGCGATATCTCTCTTATCAAACATTAGAATAATTTTTGGTTAAGAGAACGAAATGACGAAAAGTTGTCTCGAATTGCAGTCGATTGATAGGGAAGCGTTTTAAAGACGAAGACAGGGTTTTTCAAATTCAACAAAGTATCTTTTAATTGACTTCTTGTCCGTTTATTTTGATAGAATTTTGAATTCAAGGTTTCACCGAAAAGTTACCGAGATATTTTATTAAAGAAAAATTGGATCCATATTTTAGATAAGAAGATCCTTTCGCTTTTCAGGGAGAACAGTTTTCGCTCTATTCACCAAACACGTCGATCGCTATACGTTCTGCGTAGTTCCGCGTAAATTTGGAATTCCGCATAATCTCAATGAAGTTGATGGAATCTCCTGTTCGTAAGTCGGCAGGTTCCGTAAAGTTATGAGGATAAAGACAAGAAATAAACCGCTTATACCATCTAGAGTTATAGATAATCACATGTACCGAAAGATTCCTTTTCTTACGTATTACGCGTCGTCAGGGGGTTGTTGTTTCGTGACCGAAACAGATATCGAAGAAATCATTTAATCGCCACGTGTTAAATGTCGCGTCGACATTCGTACATTATTATTCGTTTCAACGATGAACGAGCGTGTGAGTCGCGCGTAACATCACACATCGCGTTCAAGCGAAGAATTCGTTCGGGACCAAAGTTTCGTTTCACGATCGATCTTCGTGTCACGGACGATTGTTGCACGAGATTTTTGCAAAGCGGATTTACAAGCGGTCGCCGTCGCACACAAGCACGCCCGCACGCACGCACACCACGCGCCACGTTTAATGTTACTTCACGATAGCAACGACGATGGTTATTGGCTGCCTTCCCCATCGGCAATCTCGGACAATCAGAAACTGCTCTTCGTCGTTTCAAGTACAAGATATGACGAAACCGACAGAAGGTGAAAATTCGTGGCGTTGTTCTTCGAGTTACGTTAATAGAAGAAATCGCGGTCTTCGAACTGCAAAACAGCTGGCAATAAAAAGCCCGCAAGCGTTAATCCTGAAGACGAAAATAAATATTGAAATACTTTACGGTCATTACGTTTGAAGTAGGCTTCACTTTAATGGAATTTTAATTTGATATTTAATCAGCGAGATATCAAACATTAAGACAAGATGCTTGATATCGTAGTAAAGGGTGTAGCTTTTTCTCGTCGAGAGCAACGCCATGTCTTACACCAATCGTCTGGGACACTCTGTATAGACAGGAAAGCAGTGGAAAGCAAGGATAACGGACTCCATCCCCGTTGCGTTGTATCCATTTTGTGCGATACAATGTGCTCGAGATTACGGGTAGTAGTAAGTCTCGCCGGAATACGTCATGTGCATCATACGATTGACGTCGCCGTCGGGTCGTCGGGTTTTACGGAAAACGTGTCTCTTCATGTTTCTAGTCTCCAGGGATGCCGACGACCCGCAAGGCCACGTGGATTCACAACGTATTTCGAACTACCAAACATTACTAATCAAGACATTCTTGCAAATTCAATGCTGCCAGATAAAATGATCACGCGACGCGTAACGATCACATGTACAGGTGTGTTCAGTATCGCGAAAGTTATTTTTTTGCATTCGTTTAAATTATAGATACGCTCATCGCGAAATGAAATTTTCCTATCGGGAAGAAATACCAAGGGTTGATTCTTTTTCATTATTGAATTTAATATGTGAATTAGAAAATTAAATGTATAATATAACACAATATAATGTAAGTTGCTTTTTTTAACATAGAAGTTTCTGAAATCCGAGATTTCATGGTACCAGATTTTTAAAAGATTCAAAGTTTATTCATTTGCAAATATTACATTTGTCGAAATTCAATTTTCCGTAGTGACATAACACACGACCTCGCGACATCTCATTATCAGCAGCACCGATCCATTCGACAGTGATCCAAAGATACGGTACCATTAGTTACTGGAAAGCAATCTATCGAAGGGTTGTATTGTTACTTCTCCTCGTTATTCACAAATCGACGCCATACACGACCATCACCACCAAAAATCCCATGACAATATTGTAATCTTTACGTACTCGTCACACAGCATACATACATAGACACAGGATACATGGAATCACATTCACGATACGTATGAGTGACACTCACAATATATACCGGGTCTCGTACACATACAGTTCCCGAGGTTCACCTCCTCTAAGTAGTTACCACACGACAATCGGAACCCGCTACCCGCTAACGTCTACGTCTACTCACAGGAGAAAAGTAAAGTGCACATGCCTCATGCCTTGCTCAGCTAATCATGCCATATAAATAAATGTTTGCGCAGTATATCAGTAGATCACGATTTCATTATCAGATAACCGCGCCGGTTGTCGCGATCTCCGTTACGTCATCACGGCTGCGTCATTCTTTTTGCTTTTCCGATCAAACAATCGCGGGTAATCTTCATTAAGCAATGGAACATATATACGATATCGGCGATAACACTCGTCATAGTTGACATTTAAAAGCCTTCAATGAGTTATCCCACGATGAGTTGTTCCACGTTCGCGATACGATCTCGAATTATAGGAAAGCCTTCGAAACCCGCGTCGTATCAGGTTGTTGCGATTGAACTTCAATGTCGTAGTATTGATAAAGAGAGAGAGAGAGAGAGAGAGAGAGAGAGAGAGAGAGAGAGAGAGAGAGTTTCGGGCTAATCTAATAAAAGCACGTTCGTAAACGAGGGATTTGAACCTAATTATGCCGACGAGGTCGCGCGGGTGTGGCGAATAAATATGAGAAAATCTTAGTAAATAAAATTACGATTATTGGTCTTCTAGCAAATACAGTATGTTCCATTTATGATTTCGGAAGAAAGGTATATATTGGTTACCGTCGTTGCGCGCGGAGATTCGCGAGAACGGACGGAACAATGTCCGGAGATGGGAGAGAGAGAGAGAGGGAGAGAGAGAGAGAATGAGTAAGAATGCGCTGGAGAAGGTAGACGAAGAAGATCGCCAACGTCTGTCGTTTGTTCTTGCAGCATCATACCTCGACCTCTCCTCGAGCGAGTCTCCCTTCTCGCGCAGCACTCCCGCGCGCTTCCCTCTCCTCTCTCCCCTTCCCGCTTTCGCCGAGCAAGAGCCCGACATTTTTGACATCTTGTGACGTCCATAACTCACCGACTTCCTCTGGCTGATAGTTCTTGATAACTTCGGCGAGCTCCATGTTGCCTGCGATTACGGCAACTTGGTACGGCGTTTGGTTCGCGTAGTTCAGGCTATCCTTCTGCGCGCCCCTGAAGAGTAGCTGACGTATGCACGAGGCGTCAGTGTTATTCACCGCACACACGTGCAACGGCGTGTTACCGGATGCGTTGCGCGCGTTCATGTCAGCGCCGTAGAAAAGCAGGTGGTCCAGATGCTGCACCAGATTGTTGCGACATGCCTGCGGACGACCGCGTGTGTATTAAGCGCGGAAATTGTTCGAAGGAATTAACTCGGGAGTAGTCACCTTACTTTTCCTTTCACGTAAACGATCACCTGGGGTCATTTTAGACCCTAATTAAAATATCACATATTATTAACAAAATATAGCATATTATCAATTGCTCGATTATTTATTATTATTTGGAGTTGTAGGTATAGATTTTTCTCGCTACTTTTTGAAAACAAATGAGGAGAAACTAAAAGATATAAGAAACGGAAAATAAATATATCAAATATTTTGTGACAGTATTTTTAATAAATGAAGATATCAATCTAAAAAAAAAATTTTTTTTATGACTTGTTTTCGATAGGATAACATATTTAAAGGTTCGAAAAGAATAATTATTCAATACAATTGGAAATATTTAAATAGCATTCATTTTATAAGAATTGAAGTAAGGCTAAATCGCGATACAGAATTACAGTAATATTGATTCAGGAATGTGAAAAATGATTAATTTTTATATTTATTTATTATGTTATATAAATGCATAACATAAAAAAGATTTCTAAACAAAACACTATAAATTTTTAAGGATATAGATATTTAACATTGAAATATAGTTTAAAATCTTCATTTCATTTATAATAAATGTTAATATTAACTTTATATGTTAATTTTAAATAATAAATATAAATGTTAAATATATAATAATTGCATTTCTGCTTATTTTTCTGGACATTTCTACTAGTCAGTATTAAATGTAATGTAAATGTTGCTTGGTATTTATTGAGTATAGATATATATAACCTCATTCAAACTTATTATTACCTTGTATACAAAATATGAATTTTTACCATGCTTGATTAATTTTGTAACGTAAACGACCACCTGGAGTCGTTTTGTATCCCAAGGAAGTTTTACAAATGTATATTATGAATAAGATGGGTCATAGTCAATTTTTGTTGCACAGGTTGCAGGTTAGGTCTCTAAATGTTTAAATGAAAGGTAAATATGGGTTCCCAACTAGTAAAAAAAAAAAAACTCACCACGATGTGAGCTTCATTTTCTGAATGTTGGGGTTTGAAATGACTCCAAGTGACTATTCCCGGGTTAATTGCATTTTTCTTCGCGATCTCTTGCGTATATCGCGATGCGCTGATGCGAGTATTCCTTTCCGTGCATATACGCATGCGCGCATGCGTGCGCGTAAAAGTCCATGAATGAAATTACAACACAGGCGAGGATTTATTTTTTGAGGGAAGCCACGAGACTTGAAAAAAACCATAAGAGTTCTGATTAAAATGCATGTATAACTTTCATTAATTTACTTTATTTAATTTTAACTTTTATCAATTTATAACTTTTCATTAATTTATTATCAAAAATTAATAAAAATTGATTTGATATACATTACGAGAAGACATTAGTCACAAGTGACAAAGTGACATACAGTGCTTGAATTTTATTAATAAGTGATAAGGAGATAAGTAGTATACAATTAGATTTCATCGAAACCTATTGACTCATATGAAAAGAATGTCGGCACGGAAAGGCTCTCGCCGCTATTCATTCTTCATCGTTATTTCGACATCAGTTTCTTATTGAAAGTAAATAATGAAAGGAAACGAGCGAAACCTGATGAACTTCCTGCCAGCCCTGGAGATCCTGTGCTCCTATCGTCGCGTGATCGTGAAGCAACGTTTCGCAGAGCATCGGATCGGTCTTACAAGTAACGCTGTAATAAAGCGGTGTAAGGCCCTTTGTATCTTTGTAATTCGGACTGGCGCCCAGTTCTAGAAGCGTTTTCACCGCCTCCAAACTGTTCCTTTCGACAGCGCGGTGCATCGCCGTCAGGCCCTCTTTCGTTCGATAATCTAGCAGAGCGCCGCCGTTAACCAATGCAATTATAACCTTTGACGGTTTTTTTAAAGTCGTCGCCAAAGTCAACGGTGTCTCTAAAATTGCAAATAAAAAGACCGAATTTAATGGTAACCGCTTTGAATAATAACTCGTTACGTTTCGTGGACATAAAAATGGGAAACATTTTTTAATTTTGCGTCACTTGCGTATGACAATACACTATCAAAATTAAATCTTGAGATATTGATACTTGAATTGAGTAAAATTGTATAAGCTTTATAACAATTTTCACATTGTGGAACATAACGGGCTGATTGGTAAAAATTGCGATTGATCGTCTGTGACTCTTTAAATTTCTTCGAGTGAAGTTTCACTCGAAACGTAGAGTGACAACTGAATCATTCGGATTCAAGTTATTTTTCACTCGTATCCACGAATTCTCCACTTGGAACTGTTGAATGAATGTTTTCACTTCAAACTGAAGAGTAAATCTGAAGAGTGAATCTGACGTATATCACTCCCATACAGCACAAGATTGCGGACACATTGCAGCAATATTTTCCTGTAAGATTGCAATATTGCAGGAACATTATGAAATTTTGCTACAACGTTGCTATGACATTGCAACAACAGCAAATGTCCGCTCATAGAAATATTGCAACGTAACATTGTAGAAATATTACAATATAATATATAATATATATGTAATAATATTTTGTGTGATTTTTTAGGCTTCAGCGGTGTGAATAAATATTGAATTTGGTTTTTGAAATAGGTTCATGGATTTATTTCCGACATTTCTTGAACACTTAAGTTAATTTCTTCAAAATGAGGTGCGACCCGAGATTGCAAGTTGATCTCGAGTTATTCCTCATTCTGAAGAAGTGAACTGAAATATTTATGAAACATCGGAAATCCTTGAAGCGTTAATTCAAAAATAAAATTAAATACTTTGTGTATATATTAGGAGATAAATTTAATTCCTGCAGTTTTCTCGTCTCCAAAATGGATTTATTTTGAAGGGAAGATGAATGAATACCTTAATCAAAGTAATTTCCTCCATTTTCTACTACTTTTTCTCATTAATCCGGCAACAGGGCAACCGCATGACAGTAGAACGTCTTTCGAGGCGATCCATTCATCCACCCATTTTTGAACTTCTTCGTAACTGGAGAAGTGTGTGTCCGTAAGTGCATGTTGCATCGACTGGAAAAGATGGTAATCCGACGGTGCTGTCTGGAAAGTATGCTGGATGCGGGAGAACTTCCATTCAAGCAAGTAGAAGTGTCTGCTTCACGCTTTTCGCAACATGCGGTCGAGCGTTATCATTCAAAAGAATGACTTTGCCTCGATTGTTGGCTACGAATAAACTTTTTTGCGCCAACTCGTCACACAATCGGCATAATTGCTGTTGGTAGCGATCAGCTGTAACGATTTCATTTGGGCACAAGAGCTCGTAATATAATACACCGTCTTGGTCCCACTAAATGCAGAATAAGGTTTTATGCCCATGAATAATAACTCTTTGACGTTGAAGTGGTTGGTTGGCCAGGGTTCACCTATGATTTCCTCCGCTTGGGGTTATCAAAATAAATCTATTTTTCCGGTCATACGCCACAAAAAACTCTTTTTTCTTTGCCTGGCAAGCAAAGAAATCGCGATAGACAAACGATTTAAAATGGCAATTTCTGACAACTCATGTGATAGCTATCTCTTTTTCTTATGAATTTTTCTCATGACATGCAAGCGTTTTGAAATGGCCATTGCAATCACATTTATGCAATAACATTAATGCTTTCGACAATTCTAAAAGCGTTTGAGCTGTATTCTCATTGAGCAATTCTTGCGCCTCGATATCTTCATATTTTTTCGGCTGTCCAGGACGTTCTTTGACTCTCACATCAAAATCACTGTTTCGAAAGCGTTCAAATCAAACTTTACATGTTCTTTCCGATGGAATTTCATCACCATACACTTCGGATAATAAGTGACGTATTTCAACTGCGGTTTTCTTGAGGTCGAAGTGAAGAAGCACATGTCAGAAAAACAGCTTATCGCGCTTCATTTTCAATCGATTTGAAAATCTCTTTGGCGTCGAGAAATCTAACCTGTGAGGACTGAATCGCTTTCAGCAATGTCTAAACTACAAAACATGCGACTTCACCGTTGAAACTTGCCAGCGTTGGAGCCGGCACTTTCTAGTAATGCGCGGCAGGAATTAAGTTTACCACGTAATATATGTGTTGACATAATAGCCTCGATATAAAAAGTTAAACCATTCTAAAACGCATGGATTTGTTAACGGAAGTTTTAGAATCGTACAATTTCGTGATTGAAAGTTATTATATCGACCTACATGTTGTACTATAAGTATTATGTTAGAAATGAATCTGTGTGTGCGCGCACACGTGTGGGTGTGTGTGTGTGTGTGGTATTTTAATCATACATATAATAGTTTGAATTATAATACATATATATTTATTTATAGTAATATGCGTATGTGAGATGAATAAATAATACATCAAATTTGTTATATGTATAGGTTTTTCAATGTTTAGTCTTAATATTGTAAATTGATAATTTACATTACATATTTTGAATTTCAAAATAGCTTGAACACTCTTTTTTAATGCAGTTTGGAATGTAATTGATAATTATAATTGGATAATTGATCCAATTCAATGTACGTAATATTAACTATAAATTTTCGGTATTAATAGGGAATATTAAAACATAACGTAATATATGCACCGATCACAAATTACAATATCATGCCACTTTAACAATATTTTGAAATATTGCTACAACATTATTGAAGTGATATTGCAAAATAATATTTTTGCAATGTCTTTGCAATATTGCACTGCAATATACAATGTTACAGCGTTGCAGCAATGTTACTACAAGCCTCTGTGTCATACGCATTGAGAAACTCATTTAGTTGAATTAACTAAATTCTTGTTTGACTATGGGCAAACAAATTTTTTGATTGTAAGAACCAAAGTATGGTTGTCTAAACCGAAGGGTTGGTTCTCTGAAGTTTCAAAGGTTTCAAAGAACCAAGCTTTTGGTTCAGAGAACTAAACCTTGGTTTTAATAACTAAAAAATTTGTTTGCCCATAGTCATCAAACAAGAATTTAGTTGATTCAACTAAATGGGTTTCTCACTGTGGGCTGTCATGGAATCAAATTCACTCTATTGAAATATTCACTCGTGTTGAGTTAAAATTCACTATAAGTTCGGGTAAAACATTCATTTTTGCGATTTTGAGTGACAATATTTTCATTATCGCTTAGAGTGAAATTACTGCCATTTTTCACCTGTTTTTAGTGATATTCCGTTCGGAGAGATTTAAAGAGAACTGTGTATGTAAATTTTTTCCAACATGACCGAATATGTACATGCAAAAAAGTTTAGTTAAATTATCCAGAAAGGAAACAACTAGATGTATTTTAATCGAAAGTAATAAAATTGTCGGTCATAGTAAGAACCACATTTGAGCCATAAAAACCAGAAATTTTGCTCCCTTCAACCAGAACGCATCTGGTTGTTCTCTTTCTTTAATTTAACCAGATGATTAATGTAACCAGATTTCCTTTCTGTATATACATAGCAGTTACCTCCGGTCTCTTGACAATGGAAATTAGGATCCAACCCCTTGCTGCACATCTTCGCGATCTTCTCGACCTGACTGCTCGCCACATAATCCAGTAACCTTCGTAAATTCGTCCTGGTGTGCATAGCCTTGAGCTGCTTTTCATCCAAATGCAACATCTTGTACACCCGCCTTTTGTACTTGAGCTGTAATTCATTTCGAGATAATAACTTACATAAACTCGAAATAAAATCCGCGCCATTCGTTCAGATGGCCATTTAAGCAAACGCAGAACGTTCGTATAGATAGTAGTGGCGCATTGCTTTTCATCTCGCCAACGTAAAAGCGTGAAATTTATTACTCTAGCCGGTCAACTAATTATTTTTGCGGCGACGCGCGTATCTCGCGTGGCGCAACTTAGATGAAGCCGCAAATTACTTGCGAAAGTGAAATATCCAAGATATTTCAGCCCGCCAATCATCGTGTGCATTAACAATATTGATCCGCAATAGCTCGGTAGTACTTATATAAATATATCGGCGAGACAGTATCGCAAATGGATATTAAGTAAGTATATCTCATCGTCGTCTCACCTAGAAGGCTATGTAATTGCCTTTTCTTATAACCTACTATTAATACGTTCGTCACATATATTTTTCTGTTATCTATGAATATATAATATATTGGACGTAATATAAAATGTGTATAAAATACTAATACTTTACCTTCGGGAAATCGAACTCTCTCTTTCTCTCTCTCCCCCTCTTTCTTTCTATCCTTATCAAAAATTCAATCTGAAGCTGTCAATTTGAAGCTTGCACATTCCATTTTTTTCATGCTTATTTAAAATTTCAACAGACATTTTTGTCAAACGGAAATATCGCGGGAATTAATAGAAGAAACGTTCTATCGATTATTTCTCATTTTACTGATCCCAGTGGCATCTTCAATCAATCTGACAGATAGATAGCGATCTCCATTCAGTAGCTCCCGAATTATCTCAACGTTTTCGTCAATTCGGCTCGTTGATGGCCTCCCGCTGCGCTCGTCATCCTCCCGCGATTCACGTCCCTTCTTAAACCGGTCGAACCACACGTGAACACTTACTTTCGATGAGACTTCATCCCCATAAGCCTCCCGCAATAATTCCAAAGTCTGGGTGAACGTTTTTCCCAACTTTACATAAAATTTAATGTTCGCTCTTTTCTCGATTGACATTTTATGACGAGGGTGAAAAACACGCAATCGGTTTTTTCGAGGTACTAGTGAACCAAATGAACGAACAAGTTTGACGTTGTACATATAAACAAAGCTTCTACGAACATAGTCCACTATCGATGCGACAGATGGCGCGATATGTACCGTCGGTACGAAAAAGTTCCGGGATTTTTGGGACACACCATGTACGTGCCGTTTTGATCCACTACGTTTTGCCATCTTTAAAATAGCTTCATGATTCCATCTTCCTACAAGTTAGCATCTTTCTGGGTGATGAATTGGCCCAGGTGATTTTTACAGGCTTCCAAAGAATTGAAGTTCTTCTTATTAAGAGAATTTTGAGACTGGAATAAGAGGTATCCAAAAGTGTAATGTCAGATAAGTGTAGCGGGTGAGGCAGGACATCCCAGCTAAGTTACATCAATTTTTGTCGAGTCTGCAAGGAGTCTGAAGTTTGGCGTTGTCTTGATAGAAAACGACACCTTCCTGATTGTCCGGACGCTTTTCATCGATTGCTGCTTTCAATCGGCCTAATTGGGAACAATACTTATCTGAATTCAATATCTGGTTGTGCGGAAGGATAATATATGATGCCCTTCCAATCTCATCAGATCCACAGCATTATCTTCTTCGGAAGCAGATTAGCTTTTGGAATGATTAACGGTGGTTCATTTCGTTTTTCTCAGAACCTTTTTCGTTCCACATTGTTGAAAACAATTCATTTTTCATCGTTTTCGTTGCGTTTTACAAATCTACTAGGGATATTTGGAAAGTTGGTATATCATTTCGAAGCTGTCATCAGCGAAAATGGTACTATGATAGTTTTTTTTGATAGTTTCTTTTATCTGCGATATATTATCGCGATATATACCGTGGTAAATATCAGATATAAGATTGGCCCTAGGATGCTACCTTACGGAACTCCCGCTCTTATTGGATAGAATGTAGATTTAGCTTTCCCATACTTTATTCCGAACTTACGTTCTGAAAGATATGACTCCAGTATTTTGCAATAATTTCTTGGTAGCATCTTACTCAGCTTAAACATAAGTCCCTTATGCCATATTCTATTGAATGCCTGCGCAACATCCAAAAATACCGTTGAGCAGTACATTCCTTCCTCGAAAGCTTTCTCAATTATTGAAATTACCCTATGTATTTGGTCGAGTTTAGGTAATAGTTGAGTGCTGATTACGGAATCTAAATTGATGATTTGGTATTTTTAACAATGGCTTAAGTCATTTGAGGAGTAATTTTCCAAATAGCTTTGATATTATCGGAAGCAGCGAAATTGGTCTGTATGATGTTACTTCTTCGACAGATTTGTCGGGTTTATTTATCATAATAACCTGCATTGTTTTAGAATTACCAGGAACATATTCCAATCTAATGCAAGCATTAAAGATATACATGATGAACACAACCGTCTTTTTTGATAATTCTTTGAACACTCTAGGTGGTATTTTATCAATTCCTGGTGCTTTTTTCATGTTTATATTTTTGTCAATTTCTTGCGCAATCTCAGCGGGCGTCATGAGTTTTACATGCAAAAAATCTTTATATTCTACTTTAAATAATTAAAGTGGATTAGGCATATTGGGGAAACCACTAGGAAACAAAGAAAGACGAAAAGAAACGCGTCAAGTTGCCTAGTTCAAAGTGATGTGGGAATGATAGCATAATTAGTTAAATTTAAATTAAGATAATTCATTCGTTGTGTGTTACTCGCAATGTGTTTCATAACTTTTCAACAAGCGATACAATTTCAGTCGAACTCTTCTTGCGTGAGTTTTTTTCGCTGGCTGCCGATAATCGCATGGTCTCATTGTCGCGACAATAATAACGCGGCGGACACTATTGTGTTAGTTTAAACGCTCTAGCGTCAGATGCGTAAATACAGAGCGAGCGCATCACACGCTGTCATCATCATGGATCACATCGCGCGCACATAGCGGCCGATTTTACATTGCGGTGGATGGGTATGTATGTACCAGCAGCTCTTGGCGTATCTAATGGTGTCGTTTATCCAAACTCGAATATTGACTGCTCGTGATGGCAGGAGGGAGGGGCGCGCGCGCGCGCGCGTGCAAGAGAGAGAGAGAGAGAACCGAGCATCGCGAGGGAGCGTCTCGAGGATGAAAAATGAAAATTGAAAACCACGAGGAATCATCTTTTACCACTATCGAATTTGATCACGAACGCGAGTTCGTTTATTTTGTACAGAAACAAGAGGAGGTCAATATATCAAACAAGATAAAAAGTTGCAAAGAAAGTTTTTAAGCCCGCGGTGTAACCATTCCCGAAAAATGGAGAAAAAATACATCATTCATGCCGATCTAAGATAGATTGTGATTAAACGTTACACGTTCCGGTATCGTGTAACGCATACGATTTCGCCCGATAATTAATTATTTTTCACCGCGCGGCCGACAACCGGCGTAGTCGACGTACGATCAATTTTCATTTTTCTTTCATGTACGCAATTGGTCCAGCGCGCCGGAACGTGGCATATCGCCCACGTTCGGGCCGCCTGGGAAAAATGATTATATATGATTATATATAATTATATAAAATCATATATAAATTTTGCCCATATATGTGGTTACATATATGGTCATATATGTCTATACGAAAAAAAAGATGTCATGCCATTTAATTAAACGTCGATATCATGTACTGTTAGAAACATAAGTAGCCGGAAGTATTTATTTCGATTCGATCTATATATAATTTGCAAACAACAGTATTTTTCGTTGTGGACATGTATAACTACATATAGTCATATATGCGAAAATTTCATATATGATCTTTTTTTCCTGGGCGATTGTCTGGCGATACGTAATTCGTGCAAAATGAGTGGGTTGTCGAGGGCGATCAAAGAAACTGGTCTGATGAATCGAAGTGGCTTTGAAACTGATTTCGCCCGACCTCGGCTTTCATGACGAAAGCGAGTATTTGAGATTGACACTGGAATCAATTATCATAATATAAGTAAAGTTTATTGGAAAGAGGGTAACATTACGGCAAAATGTCAGCGATTTGGACGCGAGATTCATTTCGTACACATTTCCGATAATAACTGTCTCTTCGATTCAATGTATATGTGAGCCCTTATTTATTTCGTTGCTTTCGACTAAGAAATCTTTCCCTGGAAAAATTCGATTTCATTTCTACTGTATCGAGCAATAATCATCGAAATAATATAATTTTGCCGTGTAAAAACCCGGGAAAAAATGATTATATATGATTATATATAATTATATAAAATCATATATGAATTTTGCCCATATATGTGGTTACATATATGATCATTTAGGTCTATATGAAAACAATAATGTTATATTATTAAATTAAATGTCGATATCATGTGCTGTCAGAATTACAAGTAGCCAGAAACATTTTCTTCGATTATATTTGAATATAATTTGTAAACAACAGTATTTTTTCGTTGTGGACATACATGATTATATATACGAACTGTGTTCATAAAATAACGGGAATTTTTTAATTTCGCGGGTTTGGAGAGTCCGATCGTCAAACTTTTTTTATTATGTTGGTATACATGCTCCTGAAGTATGATAAAATTTTCAGCTGTATTCATTGTTTACTTTGTCTGTGGCAGCCGCTAAGGTTAGACATGTTTTTATGAGCTCGACGATTTTCGTTTGTTAAAAGAAATGGATCAAAGAATTTGTATCAAATTTTGCGTAAAAAATGAAATAAAGTGTAACAAAGTGTGTGAAATGTTAACAAAGGCCTATGGTGAGTCTGCTATGAGTAAAACAAGAGTTTACGAGTGGTATAAGCGTTTCCAAGATGGCCGTGAAGACGTTGAAGATGACGAACGCCCCGGACGCCCCAGCACATCAACAACCGATGAAAACGTGGAAAAAGTGAAAAAAATGGTTATGAACGATCGCCGAATCACAATCAGAGAAGTCGCTGATGATGTTGGCATATCGATTGGCTAATGCCATGAAATTTTTTCGAATGTTTTGGGTATGAAACGCGTGGCAGCAAAATTTGTTCGTGCTTGTTCGTGAATTTTTGGCCAAAAACAATACTGTAACGATGCCCCAGCCTCCATATTCGCCAGACATGACTCCGTGTGATTTTTTCCTATTTCCAAAAATAAAGAGAACCTTAAAGGGCCGTCGTTTTACAAGCATAGATGGCATTAAAAACGCATCGCTGAAAGAGCTAAAGGCTATCCCAAAGATCGAGTTTGAGAAGTGTTTCGAGGATTGGAAGAAGCGCTGGCACAAGTGCATAATATCTAATGGGGACTATTTTGAAGGCGACAACATTAATGTAGACGAATAAATAAATATTTTTTTCAAAAAATGAAAATTCCCGTTATTTTCTGAACACACCTCATATATACCATGCGAGCATTAAGTGTTACGTGATTTTTACATTCAAACGACCGCTGGATACCAAAATCTGCATCTAATCGTATATCATTTCCGCAAAATTTCTTAATAGGTCAAGATTAAACTACCATTGGGGTACCAACATCGATATTAACAACAGTGAGCAAATATTTACGAAACATGCTATTCTGTAAGAACGTAGGACGCAGCGTCTGCGTCGAAAGAAAAATGCAATTTCGAATTGCGAGCGCATTGTGTTGCAGCCAGGCTTTTACGACACATCCAGACTTACGGTTTTCAAAACCACGGGGCCCCATTGTTTGTCGAGAATCCCGCTGACAGGCATTCGTTAAACGCGACGACATTTTTTCTCGACGACGGGCGCGATAATTTGTAACTTGTATGAGGTGAATGCGGCTTAAAGATGGTCAAAGAAGCTGTATGAGTCAGCCGTCCCTGAAAGTGAATCTCTCGCGACGAAGCAGGAACGTGCAGCTCGTAGTGGAACCGATTGAGGTCGGACCGGCCGGAGAAGCAGAAGAAGATAAAGACAAGGAGGAAGGCGACGACGACGAGAAGAGTTCGACCGAAGACAGTGATGAGAACTAACACCGGTTACGCAAGAAAATCACGAGACAGAATCCAGATCTCGTTAACTCGGGACCGGATTATTTGTTTTTCGCGAATCTCCATTTTAACAGTCATCGTGGGTCGAGTTGTGCGTACGTGCGTGCGTGCGTGTATATACGTGCGTGCACGCAGATTCGTCGCACCGCTAGAGTGATTTATGGCGAAGACAGCAAGGATCGTCGCGATGATTAATTATGTAATATGTCTCCTCGCGACCTTTCCATCTCATTAGGTTACGAAGTCGATATCGTTTCGCGGTGTCTTTAGCTCGAAATCGAAGACGACGTAAAGAAGAAGCGAGTATCGTCATCTCGAGATTGAACTTTTATCTAAAGGAGAAATTATATATTACAAAGTTATAAATCATTGCTGTGAAAACCTCGCAAGTTCCATTAATGATAATACTTTACAAAATAGTGATACTCTATAAAAAAAGAAAATCGATCGAAACTAGTCGAATCAATTTAAACCAACACAACTTCAGGATTATGAACGTAGATAATATCTGACGAATTATTGGGCTTAATTCTTTCAGCAGTTTTTTTTTTCCTTTAATTGATTGTTTCTATAAAGCAGGTTCAAAATTTACTCAATGACGCTACCATAAAAATAATCTAACAGACAATATTGGTCGTACTTATTCCTTGATTTAATTTTTGTATGTAGAATTACTCGTCTCATGTGTAAATTAGATCAACATTTTAGTAATTGAAAGAACATCTATATTATACCTACCAGGATTGGATAATAACTAGCCAATCAGTTAAAAATTAAGTCAAAACATTAAAAAGTTAATAATTTTTAACTTAATTTAGTTCATTTTAAATGAATTAATTTTTAATTTTAATTAGTTATTTTAAAATATATTAACTTACTGACTTTTTACATACAAGATAAAATAATTCATTAATATTAAAAGCATTGTGCGGGCTGTTTACAACATAGAATAAGAAAATTAAAAAGTAATACCAGCAGAATTTTTCATCTCTAAACACTAATATTTTTTTCCGTATAGAATTCTGACCATAAAACAGTCGATATTTTTTTTATAGAAGATTACCTTTTTATCATTTTACATAAATGTAAGTAATAAGTTATTTATGCAAAAAAATATATACATGGTTTTGTATAATTAACTTTTAACTTAACAAGCCAATTTAATTTTAATTTAACTTTTAATTTAGTTTTTGTTGAAGTAACTTTTAATTTAACTTACTTAAAAATAGAAATTAATTCTCTCTATCTCTCTCTCTCTATCACCCTACTCTGCATACAAATATGTTTCCAATTCATTAACGCTTTAATATTGACTAAGTTTTGTAGTTCAAATTTCTATGTACGTAATTTCTCAGATGTTAATTTAACCGAATTTTTTTTTAATCAATCCACTCGGCAGTAGTGCAACAAAATTTTCGATATCCTGGAACTAAGTACTTTTCATCTTATAATATTTTGTTTCAGTGTATGCGTTCGCTTCGGAAATGAAAAAATATTTGAGGATGTAGCTTATTTCCTTCTCAGAAGAGATTTCCCTTCTCAGATAATTACAATTTTCCTCACGCGGGAAATTTTCAACTGTTTTAATAATCCACGTTAATAGCAGCGTAACACTTGCATATTTCAACCAGCCGTGTGTTTCGTAATGACTCGTATCTCCGCTACTGGGTTCAGAAATATATAACTTAACTAGATCCTGTCAGACGTGAAGTGGGTCTTCTGGCATCTTTAATGCACACGTGAGGAGGCTATTTAACTTCTCTGTTACTAAAACGGGAGACCCTTACGGTGTACTAAAGCCGATTCTAACTGTTCGGCTGAAATAAATATCCCCCCCAGCACTGCCTTTCCTACGATTACAATAGCAAACGAGATCGGCATACGATTGATTCTCCGACTGCGAACGATTAAATGACTAGCCAGAAGAACTCGCGGAAAACAAAAGAAATGAAAAGAACGTAGCCTTACCTCTAAGTACCCGACGGGTCCATTGAAGGGATAATCGCCGAGGCGGCGCTCTTCGTCCAGGAATTTCCCGGCTTTTCCATTCACCGGCGGGCAAAAGAGACCATAATTGAAGCTCTCCTTCAGTTCCTGCAAGGTATGAAATTTTAATATTAAGGTATAGGCGAATCGTGCGTGAAAGAATCAAAGCGACCCGCCACCCCCACTTTTCCGATCGGCACATGCAAATAGCAACAATAACGAACACTCATTAAGAAACCGGGGCCGGGATCAAACGTGGGACTCGATTGGCTTAAAAGGGTAAATCATTCTCTCTCGAGTAATTGCCATGCATGCGTGCGATTTAAAAGGCATCTAGCAATATGCAATCGTACGGTATTTATATTACGTGTGACACATTCGATGTTGACATATTGCGATATATAGATTAATTAACGTAATTAATCTTCGCTCGCCTCGATGTAATTACTTTATTTGCTATCCATTAATCCGCATCTGTTCCGTCGACATATAGATCGATAGATGATGAAGATATGAATTGGCGTTAATGAGAATATCGCGCAGGAGAATTTATTAGCTGAGTAAAAAAGTTCTAAGCTTTTTTTTTGCAAAATTCAATCTTTATTCAAAAACAACAAACAAATATTAATCAGCGAAACATTCTCCGTTTGCATCAATGATCCTTTGCCGTCTTACGGGTAGCTTGTGAATTCCTTGACGATAAAAGCTCACCGGACTCGAAGCGATAAAGTCATCGTTTGTCAAAGTCATGGCTAAAGTCAATGCATTTTTGTATTTCTTCAAATCTCACGAAATGTGTATCAGTCAAGTGATGCTGCAGCGACCGGAATAGGTAGTAATCGGAAGGCGCCATATCTGGGCTATACGCCGCGTATTGGAGAAGTTTCCAGTCTAACGCAAAGATATGGTCCTGAGTCGCTTTCGCAACATGTAGTCGGGCATTGTCATGAAGCAGGTTCACTTTACGACTTCCTTGGTCAGTAAATGGCCTCTTTTCTTCTAATGTACCGCTCAAATTGGTCAATTATTGTTGGTAGCGGTCTGCCGTGATTATTTCACCCGGTTGTAACAACTCGTAATACAACACGCCTTTTCAATCCCACCAGATGCAGAGGAAAACCTTCTTGGCGTGGATATTGGTCTTTGGCGTCGATGTCAAAGGTTGACCAGAGTCAACCCATGATACTCTACGCTCAGGGTTATCATAAGGAATCCATTTCTCATCACCTGTAATGATTTTGTGTAGAAAATCTCTCTTCCGGAACTTTGAAAACAAAGTGAGTGCAGTGTTACGCCGTCGATTTTTGTTTTCGGTTTATGCGGAACCCATCTGCCTTTCTTCTGAACCTTTCCCATTGTATGTAAACGTACGAAAATGGCTTGCTGCGTGACGCCAAGCTGTTCTGCAAGCTCCTTTTCAGTTTGCGCAGAGTTTATATCCAGTAATGCTTGCAATTCGTCCGTTTCAATATTTTGAGGGCGTCCAGCACACGGTTCATCTTCAAGACTGAAATCTCCTTGATGAAATTTTTGATACCATCTTTTACACGTGGCATGACTTATAGCGTTCTCTCTATATGCAGCACAAATCATTTCAGTGGTTGTAACAGCATTTTCCTTCAGATGAAACGCGAAGTGGAAATCGAATACGCTATTTGTTATTGCCATCGTGAACACTACTGATTTTTGAGGTTATGCGCATCAAACGCCAAACCGCACGGCATTTTAGAAGGTCAAATGTCAACGCTTTAAAACCGCACAAGAGCGGGAAGATAAATAAAATTTAAATTGTTGTTTCGATTGTATAAAATCTAAAGCTCAAAACTTTCTTGCTCACTTAGTACATTGTGCAATTATTATTTTATTTTAGTCTGTCGTGTGTGTGTGTGTGTGTGTGTGTGTGTGTTATTTTGCAAAACTTTTATTTCAAATAATTGAAGTAAATAAATAAAAATAATATATGAATAAGCAAAAATAAAAACCATGCGACAATAAGGAACAGAAAACAACGTTTTTAGCCGCGTAGGAAGATATTCGTGATTAGGATTCATGTAAATGACAATCGTTGATCGTTTAGACTTTTACTAAAATGTTGATTTAGACCGACGGTCATTGCTATTCATAGTCGATGTGAATAATATGATGTGCTATTCTTCGTCTATGAATATCAAACGAAGATCGAGGAAAATTAATTTCCAATTGCGTTAACAATTTTCATGACGGTGCGGATCGCACGCATTCGCAATATTATAATATTTAACGAGTAATGACTCGAGATAGATAAAAAGCGATGATGGGGAACAACACGCGTGCCATGCTGAACCGAGAACCGCATATTATCACCATACAGTTCGTTCACGCCATGTGCAAGATCGGAAAAAACGATGCGAAAAAAGACGGGCACCGACAAGCCGACCAGCCAACCCGACAATCATGGCAACAATAGCCAAGAGTGCAACACGTGCCAAATTAAAGGCTTCGAACGAAAGAAGCGGGAGTTCCCGCACCCTCGTTCCCTGAAAGAGGCGGAGATGACTGCGGGAAAACTATGAAACGCGAAAAAGGTAGCTGACAACGAGAAAACGGAAATATCGTTTAACGGTAAATATTCCAACGTTTTTCTCGCGTCGTAGAGGTCATCGGTTTGAAAATATCAGCTCGAAAATGCGCTCTCGCGATCAGATATATATAATTTAAGGAAAAAAAATTATTTAATGTAGTACTCTACAATATAAAACATACTTAAAGTTTCTGTTTTTTCGCCGCTGCTTTCCTGATTAATGACGGACTGAATAATCAGAAGCGAGAAAACGTCAAAAATTCTTATAGAATACGTTGAAATAAAAGGATATGTCCATAAAATGGTCGATTAAATACATTTATAAAATATTTCGAAATTTTATTTCGACCTTTTATTTTAACAATCAAGAAATAGTCGTAAATTAACCTGACAAAATCATAAGAAGATAAGCTAAAAAAGAAGATTGTATGTCATGTTAATTTTACGGTTATTTATTGATTGTTTAAATAAAAGGTAAGCTTTCGGAATATATTACAAATGTTTTAAATATACCAAAAATATCATTTTATAAATACACCCGGGAAAAATGATCATATATGAAATTTGCCCATATGTATCATATATAATCATATATGTCTACAACGATAAAATACTATTGTTTATGAATAATAAAAAAATTATAGTATAAAAATATAGTAAAAATATACGCAAATACAATCGAGGTAAATGCTTCTGGTTACTTGTGTTTTTGACAGTACATGATATCGACATTTAATTAAATGACATAACATCATTTTCTTTCGTATAAACATATATGATTATATATGTAACCACTAATATGAGCAAAATTTATATATAATTTTATATAATTATATATAATCATATCATATAATAATTTTTTCCCGGGCATCTTTTCAGAGTTAGAATAAATGAAAAGTTTTCGGAATATTTTACAAATGTGCATTTGATTAATTACAAGTGCGTTATTTTACGGAGATATACTTTTATTTTAACGTATTTCATAAGAATTTTGCGCATGTGTTTTTCGCTTCTGACGTTGTTAAATAACGACTGCCGCGGAGAAACGGATGGTAGGGGGAGGGGGAGACCTCAATACATTGCATGCGAGTATATTTCGCCGCGGCCTTACGCGTGTAGCGGGCGTTTTTTCATGAATTTCGCGAGAGTATTCAGTAAAATCGCAATAAATCAATAACTACTTCGTTTTTTTCAACGAAACTTTTTTTATTTTATACTTAAATATATGCTCTACGATTATTAAAAAAAAAACGTACACACAATGCCCATTGTATTTATACGATACCTGCTCTCCAGCACACATCTACTAAATACATACTTTTACGTGACCCGCGCTCTAGTGACAGACTGCCAAAAAACGTAAAAGTACGTTTCCTGCATGCAATGTGTTAAAAAAATGAATTTGCAGCTTATTTATTGAAAATTATATGTTGGAGAAATTTTAAACGGGTATTTGACCGAAATAACTGATGAGAGCGCATTCTAGGATAGATTATGGAGATCCGCTGTATATCCCGACATTTCTAAAAGTTTCGTTTGACCGCATTCAGTATGCTTTGCTCAAAGTTCTTATCTAAGAGTGATATAACGTCCTCGTTTCGCTCTTTGTTCGCTAAGCTAGTTCAATTATACGTCCGTGACACGCTCGTCGGTGGTTTCTTGTGCCATACAAATCTTCATCGAGGTTGGAATATCATTAAAATTGAGATCCGTACCAATATACGAGTAACAAAATACGGATATGGAGAAATAATCTTGGGATTACGAATTCCTAATTATTTCCTTTTTTAAACTGACTCGAGCAAAAATGTGTCTTGTCAATTTGATTCATCGACTAGTAGCTGCATAGTATTTACTAGATAAGTTTTATAGCTAGTCATTAGCTCGTGTCTGGCTAAATATTTTTAATGAATATTTTGTAATCTATAGTTGCTGTTTAGTCATTAATATAAAATATGGTAATAGATGGCACTGACTTTCTAAAATATATAACCTATGTATTATCTTGTCACTAGCATGTTTAAGTTATCCAGCGCATCCAAATTAAAGTTATGTTGCTAAATCAAAATCAGTCTAGTAACTGTCTAGTAGCAACGTACGTAAATCCAAAATGTAAATTGGATGTCAGGACTGTCCACTAGATAATAAATTTGTATATTACATCGCCATTATCTAGTTTTTTCTTATTACTTAGTTAGTCTTCTAAGGTTTCGGTCGATATTTATAATCTTATATTTAAGATCGATATTTATAATCAGATCTTATATTAAGATCGTCTTGAGTACATTTTCAGATGCTTCGTAGCCATTGAAATGAGCAGTACTGTACCTGAAAATGAACTTAAGATGATCTTACATATAAGATCATCTTAAGTTCATCCGACTATGAGTATTTGCCTTAGTTCTAGTGATTATACAAATTATATAGTGATTAACCGTTTTAGCGCCACGCAGCGCGATCACGCTGTTCGCCTACTGTGGTGAAATGTGCCGCGATGTTTGGTCACGATCGTCAATTCGCAACGCGCTCGGTTCCGAATTTCGCAAAC